CTCGTTTTAACCACCAACTCAGAGCTTAGAATCACCACAAAATACCCCTCAAGTCCACTGCTGGGGAACGGGATCCTCAGAGACAAGCATTGCGTTGCTTACTTAGAAGCTCCTCCAATGGTTCTAGTGCGGGTCAGTGTGGAGAGGCCTAGAGACGTTGTTACCCAGACTTCCCTAATGAGGAAAATTCTCTGGGGCTCTTTATTTTTTTTAATTTTTTAATATATTTTATTGATTTTTTTACAGAGAAGAAGAGAGGGATAGAGAGCTAGAAACATCGATGATAGAAAATCATCAGCTGCCTCTTGCACACCCCCTAGCAGGGATGTGCCTGCAACCAATGTACATGCCCTAGACCGGAATCGAACCCGAGACCTTTCAGTCTGCAGGCTGACGCTCTACCCACTAAGCCAAATGGGTTTTGGCTCTCTGGGCCTCTTTAAAACAAAACAGATTCCTAGACTCCCAACCCCTGTGGATTCCGATCCAGTAAGTCTAGGGTGCGGCCCAGGAATCTTTTTTACTCACTCATTTATTTTAACAAGCCCCAACTGATTTTTGAGATGCGGGAAGCCTGAGAAATTTGCCTCTGTTCCTAGAAGGGTGCAGCAGAAGCTGAGGGGGGACTGAAAGGTGAGACTGGTCTATGGGTGGCCAGGAGTCTAGCTCAGACTAGATCTCTTACTGTATGTTAAAGAGCTGCTCAGGCCCTAACCGGTGTGGCTCAGTGGATAGAGCATCGGCCTGCGGACTGAAGGGTCCCAGGTTCGATTCCGGTCAAAGGCATGTACCTTGGTTGTGGGCACATCTCCAGTGGGGGGTGTGCAGGAGGCAGCCGATCAATGAATGATTCTCATCATTGATGTTTCTGTCTCTCCTCTCCCTGCCTCTCTGAAATCAATAAAAAAGTATTTTAAAGTAAAATAAAATACTAAAGATTAAAAAGGAAACTAAATCTTGCCTGTGGTGTGTAGATGAGGATTAATTCCAATGGCTCACTAATAAGAAGGAACATCTGGGCAGCCTGCCCCGGTTTGCACCTTCTGTATCTCTAAACCTCCCTGCAGCCTTAAATGGCACCAGCCATGTAACTCTCAGGGCCACCTGCGGAAGTGGACACTGTGTGTTTTATTAATGTCAAGGCATACACTCCCCATTTCCCCTGCATTTTAACCCCTGAAATGATCTCCTGATAAGTGGGCAATGGGTATTTTTTATTTTATTTTATTTAAATTCTTTATTGTTGAAAGCATTACATATGTCTCCCTTTCCCCCCATGGACCTCTGCCCGCCCACTCCCGCCCCCAGCACGGGCCCTCACGCTCCTACTGTCTGTGTCCATTGGTTATGCTTATATGCATGCATACAAGTCCTTTGGCTGATCTCTAACCCTCCCCACATATTACTGTATTTCTCAGTGGTATATAAAATAATGCTCCTGCCCTGGCTGGTTTGGCTCTGTGGATGGAGCGTCGGCCTGCAAACTGGAGGGTCCCGGGTTCGATTCTGGTGAAGGGCACCTGCCTGGGTTGCTGGCTCGGTCCCCAGTGGGAAGCGTGCAGGAGGCAGCCAATTGATGATTCTCTCTCATCATTGATGTTTCTCTCTCTCCCTCTCCCTTCCTTCTCTGAAATCACTAAAAATATATTTTAAAATAATGCTCCTCTTCCATTGAGGATTTCCATCTTAACTTCGATGAAATAAGGTATTATATCCATTTTATAGCTGAGAAGCTGAGGACACAGCTCGCTCCAGACACACAGCTGCCACGGGAGAGTGCTTTCCGGCAGTGCGATGGCTTTGGAGTCCTGGTGTCACGGGGGAGCAACCTCCATAATGACCTCCTAAGTCCTGCCTCCTGGTGTTCATGCCATGCCCGGGCAGAGAGGGGTGTTCCCTCCCTTGAGTGCTGGCTGCACCTGGTGACTGCACTTGGAACAGAATATGGCAGAAATGGTGGGAGGTCACTTCTGAGATCAAGTTCCCCAAAGACTGGCTCCTGCCCGCCCGCCATCTCCTGCCCTCTCACTGGCTGGCTCTGATCGAAGCCAGCTGCCACGTGGTAAGCTGCTCTTGGGAGAGGCCCACGTGGCAACAGACAACAACCCACAGGAAACGGAGGCTCCCGCGCAACAAACAACATTCAAGGAGCCGAGTCCTGCCAACAAGTGCCAGAAGGACCTTGGATGACCACAGCGCGCTCCCCCCCCACCCCATTCCCCTCGGCTGGAGCCTGCAGGGGACCCCGAGCCAGAGGCCCAGCAGAGCTGTGCCTGGATTCCTGACCCATAGAAATTGGGGTCACACAGCAGCGCTGCTGAAAGCCACTAGATGGCGTGGTAATGGGTCAGGCAGACAAGTAATCGCCTCCAATATTTAAGATCAAGTATTGACTCACGTGCCCTGGGGACAGGGGGATGCAGGAGACGGTGTCCCTGCCCCTAAGGGACACACAGCGGGCGGTCACTGCTGCTCTGAGTGTGTGGTTGCTTGCAGAGGACGCTGCCTCCCTCACCCCAGCGAGCCCGGGGGGAGGTGTCACACTGCAGGGTCTGGAAAGATGAGTAAGAAGGCGCCAGGTGAGAAAGCAGGGAGGAGGGGAAAACAAAAACACATATTTCTCCCGGTCCTCGGAGATTCGGGAAGTTACAAAACCGCACCCTTGGCGGGAGGGTGTTCGGCAGCCACACAGGATGACACGAGAGCGTGATTCACCAGGCTCCTAGGAATGTGCCAGTCAGCAGGCCCCGCCCTGTCAGCCTTCGGTGCGGGTGGGGCTTTGATTGGACTCTGGGGTGAGGGCGCTGGAGATTGAGTAACGGTTCTGTTGCTTTTTAACCAGGGGCAGGGGTTTGGCTTGAGGGGCGTGGTCAGGGTTGGCGTGGAGAAGCCTGGGTGTGGATCTGGGTCCACTGTTGGGATGTGATGGGACCGAAGGCCTGGGCCCCCCTTCTCCATTCTCCTCCGCACACCGGCTCCATTTCCTGGCTCCATTTTCTGCTTCCGGCTGGGAGCTGAGCCTGGCGGATACGGAGAGCCTCTCATCCCAGGAAGGCCCAGAGCGGTGGTTCTCCACCTTCCTAAGGCCCGGCCCTTTACCACAGCTCCTCCTGTGGCGGTGACCCCAACCATAAAACTATTTCGTTGCTCCTTCATCACTGTGATTTTGCTGCTGTTATGAATCGTAATGTAAGTATCTGTGTTTCCCGATGGTCTTCGGCGACCCCTGTGAAAGGGTCGTTCGACCCCCAAAGGGCTCCGCACCCACAGGTTGAGAATCACTGGCCTGGAGCGTGAGAGAGAGGGAAGAGGGCAAGGCCAACACGAGACAAGTCTGAGATGAGCCAAGAGTTGCAGCCAGCACTTGCCCGACCCCGGACAGGAGTGCCGTGGGCAGCGGCCCAAACATAGAGGAGGCAGGACCCAGCTTCAAGCCCTGCCTCTGCCAGGAGAGCAGAGTGGTTGGAGCACTGGGCTCCAAAGCCGGGCTGACCCAGGCAGGGCCCCAGCCTGCCACCTGCTGGGCACACTCTCTGGTCAGGTGCCCACTCTCTCTGGGCCTCCTAATCTATAGAAGGATAGCAATGCCCACCGCATAAGACTTTTGTGAGATTTAAATGAAATACGTGGAGGAACCAATAAAAATGCTCAGAAAATAGTGGTTAAAGCAAAAAAGAAGCATGGATCAGATGTGCGAGGTACCTGTCAGATCTCAAATTCTAGGAATCTGAGGAGTTGCTGGGCAGCCCGCGTACCGTTCCCCCTGCCCCTGTCCTGGGAGACAGAAAGGCTGGTACTACCCTGTTTCCCCGAAAATAAGACAGTGTCTTATATTAATTTTTTCTCCCAAAGTTGCGCTAGGTCTTATTTTCAGGGGATGTCTTATCTTTCCATGCGCTAGGTCTTATTTTTGGAGGATGTCTTATTTTCAGGGAAACACGGTAGTTGTCTCCCTTTTGGGAACACCCCGTTTGTGATTTTATTTGATTTTCACAACAACCCATTTTACAGATAGCAAGACTGACCGAGAGGGGAAGGGTTTTGCCCCAGATAATAAATGTCACCAACTCACTTTTTTTAATTGAATGCTTTTATTGGTTTCAGAGAGAGGAAGGGAGAGGTAGAGATAGAAACACCCATGATGAGAGAGAATCACTGATTGGCTGCCTCCGGCACGCTCCACACTGGAGATCAAGCCAACAACCCGGGCGTGTGCCCTGACCGGGAATCAAACTCTGACCTCCTGGTTCATAGGTCGATGCTCAACCACTGAGTGGCACTGGCAGAGCACCAACGCACCCAGGGCCACAGAGAGGGGAGTGTCTATGTGAGTGTCTCTTAGGATTTGGGGTCAGGGTTGTCCTCTGCAGCCGATTATCCTGGTTGGTTGAGGGCTAATGCTCAACCAGTGGAGCCACACTGGCCAGGGCAGGAGCTGTCCTGTTCCTTTTTTCTTTTCTTTTAAAAAAATATATATATTTATTATATATATATTATATATATATTGGATTTATATATTATATATATGTTTTATATATATGTTTTATATATAATATATATCATATATATGATATATATTATATATAATTGATTTTTTACAGAGAGGAAGGGAGAGGGACAGAGAGTCAAAAACATCAATGCGAGAAACATCGATCAGCTGCCTCCTGCACACCTCCCACTGGGGATGTGCCCGCAACCAAGGTACAAGCCCTTGACCGGAATCGAACCCGGGACCCTTCAGTCCGCAGGCCGACGCTCTATCCACTGAGCCGAACCGGTCAGGGCTGTCCTGTTTCTTAAAGCTCCTCTCTGTGGAGCCATTTGCTTTCAGCGTTGACAGAACACGTTTGGACAGTCAGGGTGCAGGAATCGGGGGAGGCCACGCTCTTCAGAGACAGGGTGGTCGGGGAAAGCGGGCTGGAGGCAGAGGCGGGCTGGGGAGAGGCCTCAGCCTTTGCCCTAGCTGGGGAGACGGTGCAGAGGGTGACTCAGAGATGCTTGGCCCCTGCGCTTGCCCTTTGCTTTATGATGGCCACCTCAGCAGCGCCGACCTTTGCCCCCAAGGGAGCTCCCGTCAGCTGGGTGGAGGCACCGCGCCATCTCAGAGGCTAGTGGCTTGCCGAGGGCCTGGAGCAGTCCTGCGTGTACCAGCCATGGGGACAGGGCTACGCAGCCAGTCCTTGCGAGGCCCACGGCCCTCCTACGGCAAGCTCCAGGAGCCTTGGGGGAAGCCCCTGCGACGGTCGCTGAGCCTCAGACAGGGTCGTGAGAAGTCCAGACCCTCAGATCGAGACCCGGAAGGACTGGACTCCTTTGATCAGGAGCGGCGGCCAGGGGGCCTGGGGGACACGGAGCAGCTAATCCAAGCTCAGCGAGGAGGCAGCCGGCGGTGGCTGAAGAAATATCAACAGGTCTGACGGGCGATGGATGGATGTGGGTGGATGGGTAGATGGATGGTTAGATGGGTGGATGGAAAAATGATGGATGGATGGGTGGATGGATGGATGGGTGGATGATGGATGGATGGATGATGGATGGTTGGATGGATGGGTGGGCGGATGGGTGGGCGGATGATGATGGTAATGGATGGGTGAGTGTTACACGGTGAGGGTGGGGACTCTGAGGAGTGGGACCAGAGCAGCAAAGGCTCAGAGGTAGAAACATACAGTGCCAAGGTCCAAGGAGGCAACAGCTTTTGGAGATGAGGCTGGAGAGAGAGGTATCCAGGGACCATATTTCAGAGGGCCCTGACAGCATTTGGGCTTTATCCCGTAGGCGCTGGGGGTCATGGGAAGTTTTGGCCCGGGATAGAGTCAGAACTGTTTTAAGATGATTACTCTGGCGGTGTGTTGGATGGGTGGGTTTTGCTGGAGGCAAAGCAATCAGCCAATACAACTCCCCAGGGTTATATCTTTTATAGGGGCGGGGCGGGGGGTGGGGGGGAGAGAACCCAGCTGTCCTTGGTGGGAGCTACCCTGGGGGTGAGAGGGGCCCTGCCTCCTCCTGCAGAAGGGTCCCAGGACTTCTATCTCTGGGTTCTGCCACCACCTGGTGGCTGTAGATGGAACAACACCTGAAACCCACCACTCAGCCCTGGGGCCTGACTCCCCGCTCCTGTCTTCCAGCAGGTGAGGAGCCGGTGGGAGAGCTTTGTGGCCAGCTTCCCCGCAGTGACCCTGAGCAGGCCAGCCTCTCCGCAGCCTCCTCTGGCACCACCAGCTGAGGATGCTGGGAGTGATGGTGGCCCCTGCTGTGCTCGATGAGACCACCCTGTCTACGGACCGACCTCTTTGTGGCCCTGGGGGACTGCGGATGCAGTGGCCTCCTCCACGGGGACAGCTCTGGCCTTCCTTACAGGCCCCGAGGCCCTGGCACTGGCGCCCTCAGGGCCTGGTCGTCCATGCCAAGGCGAAGACCCCGACATGGCCGGGAAGGAGGGAGCTCAGCGCCACCCTCTGGAGAATGTCACGGAGGCCCCCTCCCCACAGTGACGTGCAGGAGGGCGTCAGAAGCCTGCCCAGAAGTGGGGGTGTCGCTGCCCCTGGTCCCCACACAAGACCAGTCATAGACCTTCAGGACAGAGCTGGGTGAAGCCAGCACCACGGCTGAGAGGCTCTCGAGCTGCCTTGTCGCTGGGCCACGTCCTTCCTGCCCTTCCTTCCTGCCAGCTGACGGCGGTGGGTGGGCCTGGGCCGCCCGCACAGCCTGGGAGCCCCCTGAGGGCCAGGAGCGGGGCTGGTGCCCCTCGGTGCCCACACACGGTGGCTGACGGGCTCAGGCCCGGATCTTTACAGGATCCCGATGATGGAAACGGGGGAAGCCTTCCCTCCCCCGTGCCAGAGGGGGAAACTGAGGCCCAGTGAGGGGGGGAGAGACTGTTATCTCTGGCATCTCTGGCCCCACCCCACCCAGTTGCCAGCACTGGAATAAAGATGGCTGTGGTGGCGTAAACTATTTGCCTGGTGACTAACAGCCTCCTGTGGGGGCAGGCCGGGCCCAGAGCTTCCCAGAACGGTGGAGCCGGGCACCTGGGGCAGGTCCTCCTGCCCCAACCCCATCCCCAGGAGGCTGGTCCTTCCTGCCCCTTCCCTCGCCCTCGCTCCCCAGCGGAGCTGCCCTCTCACCCTGGGCCGGCTCCAGCCGCTTCGGAAGACTGGTCTCCCGGCGCCTTGCCTTTGTGCTCTGCCCTGAGGCTCAGAGGGCGAGGGAGGGCTCGCCCGGGGCCACACAGAGGGGAGGCGTGTCTGACCCCAAAGTGCCGAGCCCTTTGAGAGACGCTGGCACTTCCTGGGCGGTCCCTGCGGTTCTTTCTCTTGGTTCAAGCAGACCCAAGTTCAAAGGTGAGGGAGCCGCTGGTACGGGTCTGTCCGGGTGGTGCTGGTGGGGCCGGAGGATCTAACGAACAGTGTGTGTGTGGGGGGGGGGGTTCCCCATTTCCCCAGAGCCCAGGACCTGGCCGGGCCTGTGAGGAGCAAGAGGGGTCCTGGGAAAATCCGGTCCCAGACGGCCACTGGGATCTGAGCCTGGGATGCTGGCGTGGAACCTGGCTTCTGGAAGCTGACCAGAAGCTTCGAGCCCAATTACTCACAGCTTTAGGCGGCCCTGCCCCAGCCCCTCCTGCAGTGGCCACCGGGTGCCTCTGGGAACCTGACAGCTCCAGGAAAGGCCGCTGGGACAGACCCTCTGGAGGTCCAGAGGATGAAGCCGAGGCCCAGGATGGGGCCGGAGTTCTCAGCTTCCTCCGGATCTCCGCCCTGGAGGCTCCTCCTGATGTTTGTCTCCAGGGAGTCTGCAGCCCCACAGGGCTCTCCTCCTGCGTGCCATGCCCTGTGAGCAGTCTGCCCGCTGTGAGCTTCTGTCATCCACAGGACAGACGTTTCCGCGGGGACCCGCTGCTCGCCACGGGCACCCCTGTGCTCCTCGGGGCCCGGCAGGCACTCAGTGAGTCATTGTTTACAGCAGCATCGCCAACCTTTCGGACCTCACCGACCCCCAGGTGGCGAGGGCCCCCAGTTGGCGGCAGCTGGTTTAGAGAATGGTAGACGGGCCCGGAGTTGGTGGCTGACCCGGGCCTGCCGGGCCTGGGTCTGGGGGCTCCCGCTCAGGCAGAACACCTCCCCCCGCCCCGTCAGCAAGCCCATCACCGGGAGCACATCCGGGGCCCTGGGCAGCGGCTTTCATCCGAGCACACACACAGGCTGGACAGGCCGCCCCTCCATGGCCTCGGCCGCCCCTCCCATGTGCACGCCCTCTGGCCCCGTGTCTCTGCCACACCTCCCACCCCTGGAATCGGGGTGCGCCCTGTGCCCTGCTCTGGCCAGCAGAAGGCCGTGGGAATAGTGTGCTGGGCCGCCTGGGCCCACAGGCCCCGGAGGCTGTGCAGCCGCCATGGGAAGGAGCCCAGGAAACCCTGCAGGGGGTTGGAAGGCGGCCCCCAAACAGACATGGCCACGTCCTAATCCCCAGCACCTGTGGGTTTTATCTTATTTGAGGAAAAAGATCGTAAGGTTCCTGAGATGAGGAGGTCAGCCTGGATCCCGAGGCCCGTGACAAGTGAGCGGATCACACACACGAGGGGAGAGAGGAGACGGCCATGCGAAGGCGGGGCCAGAGGTCACGGTGACACGGGCCCGGCCCAGGAAGCCAGGGTGCTGACAGCCCCCAGAGGCCGCAGCGCCAGGGGGACCCTCCGCCAGGACCCCCGGGGGAGCTCGGCCGGACCAGTAAGAACCCGTTTCTGTTGTTCTGAGTGGCCTGGCTCTGGCTCCCGAGATATTTCCTATGAATGATCCCCGGCCCCGGCCCCGTGCCTCCCCACAGGTGCCCTCTCTGGCCCTGGGTGCCTGGCTTTGTCTGCAGGGAGACTTCACTCTCGCCCTCACCAGTGTGGCTCAGTGGATAGAGCATCGGTCTGCGGACTGAAGGGTCCCAGGTTCGATTCCGGTCAAGGGCATGCACCTCGGTTGCGGGCACATCCCCAGTGGGGAGTGTGCAGGAGGCAGCTGGTTGATGTTTCTCTCTCCTCGATGTTTCTAACTCTCTATCCCTCTCCCTTCCTCTCTGTAAAAAATCAACAAAATATATATATAAAGACTTCACTCTCAGGGGGTGGAAAGGACACTGGGCCTCGGGTCAGGCTCTGTGACTGCCACCACAGTTTCCCTCTCTGAGAGAGGAGAACCTTGTCTTGCCAGCTTTGGGGGTGGGGCGAGGCGACCAGAGGAGGTGTGGGTACCCACCGCGCTGGCCCAGAGGCACGGCCAGGGCTGCGCCGAGAGAGGGGAGAAGGAGCAGGTGTCAGGCGCTTCCAGGCGGGCAGCTCCCGAGCCTGGAGCGAGCGGGCCTCAGAGGACATGCAAACACCGCGGACTACGTGGGGGTGCGCCTTCTCATGGAGGCGTCCCCGGGGACCATGCAGAGAGCTCCCCATGCTAATGCCCCGGGTGGGGCGCCGAGTCTGCCACCGCCAGGCCCTGTCTGCGCAAAGGTCACAGAACACGTTCCTGCCGAGTCAGCGTTCACGCTGCTTTGTTCTGTTTTGGTTGTACACCGAGGGCAGGGCCTCCCCATCCTCTCCCATGCCATGAGGTCTCCAAGCCAAGAGGAGGGGCCTGGGACCCCGCATCCACCTCTTCACACACACACACACACACACACACACACACACCTCCAAACACCCGCCCCCCATTCTCTCCCCTCCCTGCTCACCATCCCTGCCACAGCCTGCCTCTCCCTTCACGTTTCCAGACCTGGGAGCTCACTACTGATCCGGCTCTGATCTTCCCACGTGGCCTCTGCCCTCAAGGAGGTCCCTGCCCTGCTGGAGAGAGAGACAGACCGACCAACAGGCAGACAGATGGCCCGCTGCTCTGCTGAGAAACAGAACAGAGTGCGCGCTCGCCGGGCCTAGAGGGGCCGATTCGGTGGGAGGCCCTGACCCCAGGACAGAGCCCCACTCTGGGCTCCGCCCACACCTCCCCAGCTCCCTGGGGCCCGTGGCCACACGGATGGGTGGGAGGAGGCCGGGAGCAGCTGGGGGAAAGATGCTGCGAGAGAAACAGGGCTGCCGCTGTGCTAATGGCGAGAGCAGTGAGGCACGCCGAGAACACCGCCTCCCCAGAGCCTCTGGAAGCAGGGCTGCCAGGCCAGACCGCAGGGCCCCGAGCCCCGCAGAGAGGTGCAGGCCGCTTGTTGTACAGACGAGGATGCTGAGGCCCCCACAGCACAGGAGGCAAAGCTGGGCTCTCCCCAACCCCCAGCCCAGAAGCCACGCCCCTGGGTGCCCACAGCCCTTTCCTCAGGACACCAAACGCAGGGCCCTCCCCCGCAAGGGCCCGGGCGGGCCAGGCCGGGTGTTGCACCTGGGCCAAGCCCTGCCTGCGCCGCACTTGCTGGGTGACCCTGAGCAAGTCTTCCTTCTTTCCTCTGTGAAACGGGGGCTGTGATCTTGGCGTCTCCCCCGGGCTGGGACGCAGAGCAGGCGCCACGTGTGCGGGAGCTGTGCCACCTGCGGGTGCTGTGACCAGCAGGGAACGCTGTCCCGGCCCTCATCCTCATCAGGCTGGAGGGCTCCGTGCCTGAGTCAGAGCCCTGGCTCCACCACTGGCTCCCTAGCTGGCCTCTCTGTGCCTCGGTCTCCTCATCTGCTCCATAAAAAACGGCAACAGTCCCTCCGCTCGGGGCTGGCCCTGTGTGTCCCTGAGCAGGCAGCCCCCTCGCTGGGCCCGAGGCCGCCATGGGAAGTGAGGGGGTACCGGGAGCAGCATCACAGAGATCAGATGGGCTGAGCCCGGGGCCAGCCCGCGGCAGCCGCACTCAACGAGAGCCTCGGGGAGCCTGACCCTCGGAGCCCGGCCTGTCCTCGGCTCACCTTGGCCTTGGCAGGGCTGTGGGCATCAGGCTCCAGGAACGCGGGCCGAGCCGCAGACCAGACGGCCGGCCGCCCTGGGTGGTCTCTGGGGCAGTGCCAGCGCCAGAAGGAGCCTCTGCCCTCACCCCACTCACTGTGGCAGCCCCCCCTCCCTGCCCCCATCCCCTCCACGCCACCTCCTCCTCCTCTGAGATCCAGGCACGAGCAGTCAATTCACCCAACACTGAGCAAGGCTGCCAGCGCCCAGGACTGGAGTGGATGCCGCACAGCCCTCCCATCCCCTCCGCCACACGGACCGCCCTGTGGCTGAGCCCGCACGCCCTGCTGGCTCAGGGGGCAGGGGTGCCCGGGGGAGGGCAAGGTTAGCTCCTGCAGGGTGGGCCTCCGAGCAGGCTGCCCGCCGAGCAGCTGGCAGAGCTGGGACCATGGGGAAGGGCGCGCCAGGCAGACGGAGTGGCACGTGCAAAGGCCTGGCGATGCCAAACAGTAATAAGGAACATCATAAACTGGTGAACCAAAAGATAGACACAGAGACAGTAAAGAGCAAGCAGGCTGTCCAATGACAGCGGGAGGGGAGGGAGAGGTGGGGGAGATGAGAGATCCACCGAAGGCCTTGTAGGCATGCGTGTGAGCACAGCCCATGGAGGGACACCTCTGGGGAGGGAGGGCATGTATGGGGGGGGGGGGGGTTGGTAAGGTCTGTACACAAAGAATACCTGAATAAAAAAAATGAGAAAGAAAAATAA